ATTTTTCGCCTTTTAAGAGTTAAGCAAGGGTTAAAAAGCGAAAAATTACTTATGCAAATGAGGCATGTGATTCTCTGGCCTCTTCCTGCAGAAGGCAGTTTGTTTAGAGGCTTTTTAAAAACATTTAAACAGAGTCATCCACGTGGTGACTCTAGCAGCAACTATCCTAGCCTACCTGGCCCTGGCTAGATCAAATCTTGCATTTTTGAGGCAGCTGGAAGGTATGTGGGTCATAGGGAGGGGGCAGGGGGGAGGAATTCAATATTATTTGTAATGTAAGTAATTGTAATTTGTTGTGTGGTGTGTGTGTGTGTGTGTGTGTGTGTGTGTGTGTTTTACCCGCCTCTGCTGGCGTGCGGGCTGGCACATTTATTTTTATTTTTTTATTTTTCATTTTTCATTTTTTATGGAGGCGATGGGCGGGCGGGCGGCGAAGCGAGACTTCCAGGTCGTTAGCTTTTCTCAGACTGTTGGCGAAGGACAGGTGGTTGGTGGCATGCACTTTAAAGTGCAGGGATGCTTTCTCTTTCGCCGCCCGCTGGTCCCTTTAAACCCTCTTTTCACCATGCGAGTTGGGAGGAGACGGACGGAGGGAGGCTGGAAGGAGGCGGGGGCACCCCTTGTGCCACTACTTCTTGGAGCGCTGTGCGCAGCTTGCTCGCCTGAGTCTCTCCAGCCATCATTCCACCCTGACTCAGAGACCGCTGAGGGAGGAGGACCGAGCTGGGAGTCCCCCACCGCACCGTCCATGCCTCTCCAAGCCGGGTAAGAAGTGCTGCGCCTGCTTCCCTCTGGCTCCTCGCTTTCTCTTTAACCCCCTCAAACCGCCTTTGGGTCTGGCTCTGCTTTCCCCATTTTTTGCTTCGATTTCGCCTTTTTGCAAAGGGGGAAGTGTGTGGCTGAGGGCGCACGTGTATGAGCAGACTGCCTAGCCCAGGGTTTCCCCCCCCCCCGCCTAATACGCTTGCCTCACCAGCGGTGAACCTCACCGCACGTCACTGATATATATTTAGTGTCACAACTCCTGGTATGCCCAAATATGGGAGGAGGCCTACTGCTTCCTTTCTCTGTCTATTGGCTCGTCACAAGAGACCACCCAGACAGAAAGCCAATATTTTTACTGTTGTCTTTGTTACATTTGTGTAGTATGTATGTATGTATGTATGTATGTATGTATGTATGTATGTATGTATGTATGTATGTATGTATGTATGTATGT